TTTTTTTTTTTTGAGACAGGGTCTTGCTCTGTCAGCCATATCATGCAGTGGCACTATCACTGCTCCCTACAGCCTGGAACTCATGGGCTTAAGTGATCCTTCCACTTCAGCCTCCTGAGTAGTACTGCAGGCGTGTACCACCACATTTGGCTAATTAAACAATTTTTTTGTAGAGACAGGGTCTGGCTATGTTGCTAATGTTGATCTTGAACTCCTGGCCTCAAGTGATACTCCTGCCTTGACCTCCTAAAGTGCAGGGATTCTTTTTTGATTTATTACACATAAAACAATGTGTATTTGTTTATTTTTCAAATTTTATTTTTTATTAGCTTTTTTAGTTTTATGAGGTAGCAATGAAGGATTTCTACACATCTAAGAAAAGACTTTAACATAAAAGGTAGCGAGGACTAAACTCTCATCTTTCTTCTTTCCCTTGCCAAATTCCTAAGGGCCTGGGGAGACGGGTTTATTTTATTAATTCTATACAATGTTTACTTTCTAACCTGACATAACATCATATAACAGATAAAGAAGGAAAATCAAAATGTATATGACCTTATAAAACTGTCTTTTGGGTACTCTCGGACTCCGGACACCTTTTAAGACACATATTCTCTCTGAAGTCTGCCACTGATGAGGCTTCATCTCCATATTAAGTAACCTGGAATCTTTCCACCCTTTTATCTCAACAGGATAGCTCTACTGATTTCAAAATTCCTTAGATAGCAATCTGACTTTTGCTACTAATTGCCAGTCAGAAAAATCTTTGAATTCACCTATAATTTGCAAGATCCCCAACTTGAAAATGTCCCACCTTCCCTGACCGAACCAACATAGATCTCACATTTATTGATTTATGGTTTTCTGTAACTTCTGTCCTCCTAAAATGTATGTAACCAAGCTATTGATGTTGGGTGGGATGCTGCAATGTATTGCTCTGTGGGTTCTTTTGACTTGGCCACAGAAAAGAATTTCAGAGTGAATCCCAAGTATGGTTTAAGACAGAAATTTATTAGAAAGAGACGTGCCTGAAGGGCATAGGTCCCTTAAGAGGATGGACATGTACTTGCCTTTGACAAGAAACTTTATATACTTTTACAATGATTACTAAGCAAATCATGAGCTAAGAGCAGTGGGCTGCAGGTATTTGGTCATGAGTTTTGATTACTGTCTGTCTACCTTCTATGAGATAAAAGGGGTGAGCTGCAGGTGTCTGGTCATGAGTTTTCTATCTCTCAACCTTCTAAGGTCACATGGACCTTCTAAATAATTTAAGTTATTGCCTAACTAGATTTGGGCTTTTCTTAGAACATCATGTCTGTGTTTTTGGTAATTCTTTATTGTTTCTGTGATTTTTTTTTTTTTTGAGTTGGAGTCTCACTCTGTTGCCCAGACTGGAGTGCAGTGGCACACTCACAGCCACCCCAACATCAAACGTTGACCTGCTGGGTTCAGGCAATTCTTCTGCCACAGGCTTCCAAGTAGCCGGAACTACAGGCATGTGCTACCATGCCTGGCTAATTTTTGATTTATTGTAGAGATGAGGTCTCGCCAAGTTGTCTGGACTGGTCTCGAACCTGCGGGCTCAGGCAATCCACTTGCCCCAGTCTCCCAAAGTGCTGAGATTACATACTGAGCCACTGAGCCCAGCCTGTTTCTGTGATTTACTGCACTGGTAGATCCACATTCCAGCCCACAAGGTGGTCAGGTCTGGTGTGCCTGGTTGGTTGGGTGAAGGTCATGTACTGACAAGAAAGATGACTGAATGCTTATCCCATTTTAATTTAAACTGCCTGCAAGAAATTATCTATCTATGTCTAACCTGCACTGAATAGCCTGCCTCACTGCAATTCAATGATGGCAGGCACACATTCTCAGGACCTCCTGGGAATGGATGTCATGGGCCTGAAATCACTCACATTTGGCTCAGATATTTTACATATTTTACAGAGTTTGATATCTTTCGTCAATAGTAGATACCAAAATGAGCAAATAGAACAAAGCAACTGAGAGGAAACTGAGGCTATGTAGGAAGAAAAAACAAAAATACCACAAAAAGGTGATGGTGAAGATCCTTAGTGAAAAAAGAACTGATAGGGCAACAATGAAACAAGTTTTGTCAGTGCTGCAGCAATCATGTGGTGCTTACTTCTTTGTGTACTTATGAACACTTTCTGTAGAAAGTTCCTAAAGATGGGGTTATTGGGTCAGAAGGCAAGCACATTTAAAAGCACATTGATAAATCTTGCCAAATTGCCTTTGACACAGTTGTTATACTTTATATGGTCATGGAGTATGAATGACTGGGTTCCCATAGCCTTGGCCCATACTGATACAGAGACCCGCTAATGTCTGTCCATTTTGCCACAGGTGGGTTCTTTATGATAAGAGTATTTACTTTTAGTGCTTTTATGATTATGGCTAGAGAAGGGCATGGCAAGGGTTCAAGTGGTCTTGAACACATTCCTGAGAGCTAATATCTACTATGCTCTACCAGTAAGTAGCTTCAGGGGATCCTTGACTTCCCTGCAGACTATGCCCAATAAACTGAAAGATATAAATCCCCATTTACTCCCTTTTCTTAGTAGTCATGGGTTTGAATAATTAGAGTATCCATACAATCGTAAATCTTGTGATTTGTATAACTTTTGCATAACGCATGATGTCTTAGGCCATGTAAACTCCCTTTACTCTATGGCAAATTTGGTTAACGCTTCTGCTGGGCCTCACTGATAAAAGCTGTGAGATACCTTTGGTACCTGGCACCAGGAACTCTGGACCGTAATGTCACTATTGGTAAAATGTGGTTGTAACTTAAGTTCTATACAATGCTCTGCTAGTCACATGGCTAATGTATAGGTACCAATAACTCTGGACTTATAAAAGTGAACTGTAAAGCTGAAGGGTGAGCAGAACCATTTTAGAAAGCCCTCGAGTCTGGCTCTGTTTCCTGGATCCAAATTCAGAAATAAACTTCTTTCTACTGGTCTTTCTGCCTCTCAATTTATTGGCATCGAGGGTTAGCCAAGCATATACTCAGACCATAATAATACTTGATACTGTCAACTTTTAAAATCTTTTCTAGTCTGATGGGAGAGTAATGATCCTTCACAGGTTTCCAGTTTCTCTGATTATATGTGAAGCTGATCATATTTTCTTTTCTTTTTTTTTTTTGAGTTGGAGTCTCACTCCAGTCTTCCAGACTGCCTCGACCTGCTGGGCTCCAGCGATCCTTCCGCCTCAGCCTTCCAAGTAGCCGGAATTACAGGCATGTGCTACCACGCCCGGCTCATTTTTTATTTTATTGTAGAGATGAGGTCTCGCCAAGTTGCCCAGGCGGGTCTCGAACCCGCGGGCTCAGGCAATCCATTCACCTCAGCCTCCCAAAGGTGCGGGATTACAGGCTGAGCCACTGAGCCCAGCTTGAAGCTGACCATATTTTCAAATGTCAATTTGCCATTTGTATTTCTTCTGTAAATTGCTTGTTCATATTCTTTGCCAATTTTTCTACTGCTTTTGTGTATTGTTTTAAAGGACTTATAAAAGTGAACTGTAAAGGATCCCTTTAAAACAATACATTTTGTCAAATATATTTTACCAATTTATCTCTTGACCTTCAAGGATAAAATTTTGGAAAATAAAATATTTTTTCCCCCTGACTTTGGTCTTATTCAGAATGGATTCTTGCTGGGCACAATGATTTGTGCCTATAATCCCAGAGACTCGGGATGCTTAGGTGGAAGGATCCCTTAAGGCCAGGAATTCGAGACCAGTCAACCTGAGCAGCATAGAGAGACCTACCCCTGACCCTATCTTTATTATTTTATTTTATTTTATTTTATCTGAGTTGGAGTCTCACTCTATCGCCCAAGCTGGAGTGCAATGGCATGCTCACGGCCACCGCAGCCTCTACCTGCTGGGCTCAGGTGATCCTTCTTTCCACCTCAACCTTCCAAGTAGCTGGAACTATAGGCATGTGCCACTACCCCTGGCTAATTTTTCTGACTTACTGTAGAAAAGAGGTCTCGCCAAAGTACCCAGTCTGGTCTTAAACCCCTAGGCTCAGGCAATCCTCTCACCTAGCCTCCCAAAGTGCTGGGATTATAGGCATGAGCCACCACGCCCAGCCTACCAACCCTGTCTTAAAAAAAAAAAAAAAATTAGCCAGGCATGATGTCTGCTTTTAGACCCAACTGCTCAGGAGGCTGATGCAAAAGGATTGCTTGAGCCCAGGAGATGAAGTCTTCAAAGTGAAATATGATTGTGCCACTGCATTCCAGCCTGCACTGGGGGACAGAGTAAGATTCCATCTCAAAAACAAAAAACAAAGGTGGGTTCTCTCTGATAAGAGTATTTACTTCTAGTGCTTTTATGATTATGGCTTTAAAAAATATTAAAAAAATTAAAACAGCCAGGCGTGGTGGCTCATGCCTATAATCCCAGCACTTTGGAAGGCCGAGGTGAGGGGATTGCCTGAGGCTACGTAATAAACAAAGAGACCAGCCTAGGCAATTTGGCAAGACCTCATCTCTATAATAAATCAAAAAATTAGCCTGGCATGGTGGTGCGTGCCTATAATTCCAGCTATGCGGAAGGCTGAGGCGTAAGGGTCGCCTGAGCCCAGCAGGTCAAGGCTGCAGTGGCTGTGAGCATGACACTGCACTCCAGCCTGGGCGACAGAGTGAGACTCCAACTCAAAAAATAAATAAAAACAAATTTTAAGATTAGTTGAGTGCAGTAGTGAGAAGAGGAAAAGAGCAGAACAAGGAGTTTGGTTTGTAACAACTGACTGTGAACAATCAATTGAGATAACCCACTATCTTTAGGCCGGCCTGATTATGGTTTTTTAAATACTTAAATTTCTATCCATATGGAATGTATTTTTATATATGGTGTGAATTACAATGGAACCTTGTAATGGAAGTTCTTTCTAAAACAGTTTATGTACTAGAAATAACTTCAGTTTCTCTGCTTTTTTTCTATCCCAGGGAAACCCTTCAAGAATATTTAGATGGGAAAAAGGAGAGTGAGGAAGTTCAAAGCAAGAGCTGCAAACAGAAAGAAGAAAGCAGATTGGTATGAACTGGTTGGCAAATGGGCCCTGTTAGTTCCAGAAGCCTGGACAGCTGGGTGTGACATCATGGTTTTCATATTTAGACTGGAAAAAATTATGTAGCCCATGTTGCTGTCTCTAGGCAAAACTGAGTTGGAATCTTTCACATTTAAGCGTTCTCTAGGAGTAAGCTTTCAGATTATGGCTTCTTATATGTATGCTGTCTCCTCTCTGCTCATGCAGTTATAATGGGTATTCACTACTCAGAGGATAAAGTCCAGTTTTTTAGCCTGGTCATTCAAGGTCTTTGGTAGTCTGTTCCCATCTTAACTTTTTTTTTTTTGAGTTGGAGTCTCACTCCTTTGCCCAGGCTGGAGTGCAGTGGCATGCACACTCATGGCCACCCCAGCATTGACCTTCTGGGCTCCAGCGATCCTTCTGCCTCAGCCCTCCGAGTAGTCCGGAACTATAGACGCGCGCTACCATGCCCGGTTATTTTTAAAAATTTTATTGTCGAGATGAGGTCTCACTAAGTTGCCCAGGCTGGTCTCAAACCGGGGGCTCAGGCAATAAACTCACCTTGGCCTCCCAAAGTGCTGGGATTACAGGCTGAGCCACTGAGCCCGGCACATCTTAACTTTTCAAACTTATCTCCCATGGTTTCCTGATATGAGGCTTCTACTTTGGCGAGACTGATTCACTTACTCGCTTGATGTGGGCTCTGTTCATTCCTGCTCTGTGCCTTTTGATATCTGGAATGCCAGGGCCCTCCACCTTCCTTTTCTTCCCTCCCCTCCTCTCCTTTCTTCCTCTCTTTCCTCTTCTCTCATCAGGTTTCCTTCCCATTTTTAAAGACCATCTCAAGTCCCAGCTTCTCCTTGGGTTCTTCCTTAGCCCAGCCTGACCTCCTTTAATTCACATGTTGATTGCTTCTTGTCACTTCAGGTAGTTTTCTGCCTTGCAAGACCTTTCAAATGTGTGCATGCAGTGTCCCCAGTGGCATGATGAGCTCTAGGAAAGTGAGAGCCTTTTTCTGTAGCTGTGGAGTAATGCATAGCTTGTACTCAACAAACATGAAAAAGAAAATCATTGATTGCTCTCCTATGGCTGTGACAGTGCTCCTGGAATGCTTAACAAAGGACTTGGGGCCAGGCGCAGTGGCTCAAGCCTGTAATTCGAGAACTTTGGGAGGAGGTAAGGGGATTGCCTGAGCTCATGAGTTCGAGAACAACCTGGGCAACTTGGTGAGAACTCATCTCTACAATAAATCAAAAAAATTAGCCGGACATGGTAGCGTGTACCTGTAGTTCCAGCTACTTGGAAGGCTGAGGCGGAAGGATCACCTGAGCCCAGTGGGTCAACGCTGGGGTGGCCATGAGCATACGACTGCACCCCAGCCTGGGCGACAGAGTGAGACTCTAACTCAAAAAAATCAAGAAATAAATAAATAAAGGGCTTGGAACAAGAGGCACAGGAGGGATAAACAGCAGTGCAGAACAGTAGACCAAAGCCGGAAAGATGCTCCATTTAATCAGTGCAAAGTGAAAGGCATAGACAGTGATGCTGTGTATGGAAAAGAGCTCACCAAGCTGGCCTGGTCAGGGGAGGAGGTTATATGGAAAAAGTGGGATTTGAGCTGAGTCTTAGAAAACTAGGTGGGTTTTTAAAGGTAGAGAGGAGGGAGGCCATTTCTGGTCGAAATAAGTATACTTACTGGTCGGAAAAATATTCAGATTACTGAATATGATTATAGAACATAGAGATACAGAGAGATAATTGAATAACTTGCATTGTACTGTCTTAGGCATAAGATATTTTACTGTGGAAAGAATATTGGATTAATGTGGGTTCTTGTTCGAGGTCTCTTGCTTATTGTAAAGTAGATGATTCTGTTACCTCTTCGTACTTAGCTCTCTTCATTTAAAAGTCAGTGATGTCTGATCATTTCTGTGCAGAATATTGATACGTAGTTCATCTTCATACTTTTTTGTTTTTTTTTTTTGAGTTGGAGTCTCACTCTCGCCCAGACTGGAGTGCAGTGGCCGCTCCCTGCCACCGCAGCC